GAATTTCAATTTTTGGAAATAGTGCATCTTGTAACATATTTTTGGAATGTTAATTTTCAAGATTTTTAAGTTTTCATTGATCTGCATGATTTACACTATTGGTAAAGGGTTAAATTTTATAATTAAATATAAAAATATATTTTAAGGTCATCACATAGATTTTCAATAATGAAACCACATTTTTCGATATTATTTGAAGGTGTGATTTGCATTGATTGTTTAGAGCCTCGGCTCTATATAAACCGCAACCTTCTTTGGCAGAGTGTATTTTGGTCATTTGCCTAAAATTTAGGCATCATAATGAGGATTGGGAGGTGGAGGATGGAAATGGCAGGACTTGGTCAGTGAGAGTTTATTGGTGAGGAATTTGGAGGAGATATAGTTGACGTTTGGGCCTCTAATTTATTTCCTTTCTAAATCAAGACACCCGCTATTTCTTTTGGGCATTATGATGCTTAAATTTTAGACAAATAACCAATTTACCACCTGTAACATAATATGTGTAGAACCCGCTGACTTCGATACTGACCGCAATTAGATTGGTTCTATCGTTTTTCAGTATGGATCAGTCGATTCCAATCCGATTCTCTTATTTGCCTGCTTGATGACTCCTTCATCTCAAAAAAATAATGATAAATATCCATAAACGCAATAATCTTTTCCTTTAGAAAAGCAGTGTAACCGGTGATACTCGAAAAAGTAACAAATATAGTGAACTTTATTATAACGGTTTTCGCCTTTTTTTTTTAACTAACTTTTACAAAAATATTAACTTTATTATAAATATGAAAATTCCACAAAAGGTACCTAAGAAATTTGCTATTTAACAACTCACTTATTTTCTCTATGTAATTTCAAAAATTCATCAACCCATGAATTGCAAAAGGCGATATTTTATATCTATTTTGATAAATAAGTAAAATATTAAATAGTTGAAATTTTAAGTATATTTTGATAAACTTCTTTGCTAGATATAAGCGGTCAATTTGTTTTACAAGAATCAAATTCAAACCCTGCTTGTTTCAAATATTATGAGAGCTATAGGTAGGCCGTTATAGCAAATATTATGAGAGCTATAGGTAGGCCGTTATAGCAGTATATAACGGCCACTAAGAATCTTAATATTGTGGATGCTTGACCATATCAAATGACATTTTTTTTTGGTAGATCAGTGGGGGAATGCAGGTCCCTACTCGATTTTACTCGATTTTAGAAATAATTAGCGGTTTTTAAATGTGTCAGTGGGAATGGAAACCGAGATTAGTAGCTAAGACTCAAGTGGTGCTACCACCACGATCTTAACCCCATTCTCATATCAAATGACACTTGATTTTGTAACCTACGCTTTATATTGTTAAAAAAAGAGCTAAAATATAAATAAAGGAAAGTATATAAGAGACCATTTACCTTGGGCTGCATTAGGACATCACAAACACTCATGTCCATTAAATTTCAAATCCTATAGTTATGAGTGTCATTGACTGAACTAAAAGTTCAGAAAAAAAAAATCTCAAACTTCGTGATATACCCCAAGTTACCTAATCTAACGTCTAACGGCTAGGATTAATTGTGACCTAAAAATAAATATGTCTCATAGTATACAATCATATAAATAAACAAACAGAAGCATTAGATATTTCTTCAAGTGCCATGTTCTCTAACAAAGGCTTTAATAATTTGGATCCCAAGACTAATCAATGGACCAAAGAACCAAACTTTTAAAATTTCATACTGATTTTTATCAAGTGCATGTTCTATGTAAGAGAAAAATGTTGTTCTATAAGTGAGGATAAATTTTAAAAACTGGAAAGTTGTAATCAACTGGATACATTAAGAGGGGAGCACTGTGCAAACATTTAAAGAAATCAAACTTAAAGTACAAAATTCAGCCGGCAAAGAGGCATAACAACCACATTTCTTGATGCCGTATCCATCCTCATTTTTTGTCTAGACAAGTTTCACAAGGGAAAAATATCCTCTTAATTTATTCATGTTAATATTAAAAAAAGAAAAGAATGTATCAATTTGCTAAGACAAAAAAAATGATATCATTTCATCCTAAAACACACATTTTTAGGCATTCTCGTTTAAGTGCCATTTTTCAGTCCTAAACTGCACTCAGAGCTACATTAGCTTCTTTATTGAATAATCTTATCTTCTTCTTTTCGGTTTGACAAGAGTACTGAATATTACTAGATCAAAGGAAGAATTACAAGCGGAGATACAACTAAAGAATCAAGGCATGCCCCTCCCTTGACTAACTCATAAAGAATCAAGGCATGCCCTTCCCTTGGCAAACTCATCCGCCGTGGGATTGGCTTCTCTATAAATATGATTGAAAAGTAAAGTTGCCCCTTTTCATTTAAGTCCATGATTTGCAGCCAAAGATATCTTAGACAAGGTGGAGTACATGCATCATTGCACCAATCGATAACATTTTTCGAGTCACTTGAGCTAAGAGTTTCCCAGCTCTTTATACTTCCATTGGATACCTTGCAAAACTACTGCCAATTCCGCATAATTAGCAGTAGCCACTCCACATGGTGCTGCAAAATAGAAGACCATAATCCCATTTGGATCCCTATATACACCACTCGCACCAGCCTTTCTTGGATTTCCCAAAGAAAATCCATTAAAATTCAACTTTAAGCAACCATTTGGTGGAGTTGTCCAAACCCTTCGAGGTCTAACCTTAATAAATCTTAATGATATCAAATGATCAAGATTATTTGTCACATACGTCCGAAAGACACCCCAACCTTCGTTGGTCGCCCGAAATCAACTCCAAGTGCTAAATAAGATCTTATCTTTTAAAACTACTGCGCAGCCACACCTTTAAAAGTCCTTCTATTTCTTTCAATCCACAACTCCCAAAACAATTATCCACCCATAATATTCCAAAGCATACCACCAATTTTTGGGATTCCACAAATCTTCGTCTGATTCACAATATACAACAATGAGGAGGAGAAATCCCAACTTTTGCATTGTCCAATACCATAACTGAGAGACAAAAGGACAATCTAAAAATAGATGATCATGGGTCTCCTCATCATTTTTGCAAAAAAAGACGAACATTAACAATGATCTTGCCTGGTTTTTTAAGATTATCTATTGTGAGGCATTTTGCTTTAGTCATGATCCAAATAAAAGCCTGCACTTTATGAGGAATTCTCCCTTTCCATATATCTTTAGTCATCTCTATTAAATGATTCTCTATTTAAACCCATCCTTATTTTAATAGCTGAAAAAAAAAAAAGCCATCTAAGATGATTTGTGCCATGTGTTCAGCTACATGCACACACTAACTCTATCCAAAAAAAAAAACTTTCTAAATATCCCTACCTATTTTGTTTGGAATGCCAAACATGCAAGCAAGTTTCATCAATGAGAAGTGTAGGAATTTATTTATACTTAATACAAGGAGGTCACAAGTACTCTTGTCCAATTTCAAATTGGGTGATTATGAGCATATATCATTGACTAGACTCAAAGTCTAAAACAAGAAAATTCTTTAACTTTGTTTCACAATTCATGCCATTTAATGTTTGTCTAGCAATAACTATAACCCTTATGTAACAAAGATAAATGGTCTTATAATATAGAATCCTTTAAATGATTCAGTATGGTTTGTATAAGTGTTTATACCCAAATTTGGGAAGGAAATTTCAGAATCTACACTCTAATTTGGATTCAAAGTAAACAAACTTCCAATTTGGATGCAAAGTAAATAAACTTCAAAGAGAATAAATTAGGGTTCAGCCAAATTATGATTTACAATTTGGAGATATATAGTTGCTTTCCTACAAAAATCACTGTTTCCTTAAAAGAAGTAAGGAAGATTTTCCTTTAAGATAGGGAAAAGTTTATATAGAGCCGAGGCTCTAAACAATCAAATTTGAGCTTATCCCCATAATTTCATTAGAAGATGTTATTTTGATGTTCACATATCTTCAAATTAATCATCTCGACATCAAGAAGCATGGACACGAGAAAAAAATAGACTCAAGTTTTGAAAATAATGTATTTTGTAACACATTTTTGGACCGTCAATTCTCAAGGTTTTCAAGTTTTTATAGATATGTCGATCTACACTATTTTTTAAGCATTAAACTGTGTAAATAAATATAAAAATATATTTTAAGGCTATCACAAAAATTTCCGATATTGAAACCACATTTTTCGATACCATTTAAAAGTAGGCTCTAATTTGATTGTTTAGAGCCTAGGCTCTATACAAACCGCAACCTCAAAAGAAATAAAAAAAATAAAGTAAAAACTTCCCAGGCTCGAACGGTTTGGTTATGGACAATTCTCAATCTAGATGTATGAGTCTTAAAACAGTGGCTTTAACATTAAAAAGCAACTCAAATATAATTTTCTACAAAATTTCCCACTAGATCTATTATTGAACACGATTGTAAATTTTTACTCAAATCTAGGTGAAAAATTGCTTTTAGCGCAGGATAAATGCATAAAGTAGTTTGGTTTAAAAAGAGTAAGGACTTCAAAACTTTTTTTAACCTGTTTCATGCTAAGCTCGGGTAAATGGGTTACGTAAACAACCAACTTGCAATTTTAACAAAATTTATGATGTAGCCAACCCAAATTAATTGAAAAAAAACTATGATGATGACACTCCCATGCCGATGTCCCGCGCCAAAATGATGACGCAACGTCGGCCGCAGAGGCATTTTAGTAATTTTCTCATGCAGAGAGGGCCATCACAGTAATTTGGGATTCTACTGTCTCAATGGTATCCATCCGAAGAACATTCCAAAAGAAGATGCGAATCAACGGCTACAATTGGAGGAGGCCCACTACCAGTAGACTCGGGCCCAGGGTATCGGGACGGGTATTATTCGGGAATCCCTGTGTACAATCCTCGCCTCCCATTGGCCACTTCCCCCGCGTGTTCGTACGCATTGCCACGTAGGGTCAGAGTGGGACCCACCCCACACCAATAATAATATTTTGCCCTCGCCTTCCTCCACCACCAGTGACAAGAGAGAGCGGGGACCTCTCGATTTCGTGTCAAGAGAATCTCTTTCTCTCTCTAAAGTTTCTCTCTCCTCTCCGTTCTTTCTCTCTCTTCTTTGCATTCTCTCTCTCTCTTGCCGCTGTTTCGCGGCAAGAGTAGGCGGTTTTGCGGCAAGAGTTGGCGGTTTCCCTGTGATTTTTAAGGGAGAACGGCGGTTCTCCGGCGACATAGTGGTTTGGTCTTGTGGGTTTATTCAGGTATGGAAAGGGCTTATTTTCGTGCTCTCTCTCTCTCTCTCTCTCACACATTCATTTTCTCATTCTTGACTGGTGGGTTTGAATTACAACATGTGATCGTCTCTTCAAACCCCTCTCTTTCTCTCTCTACCGGTGTTTAAGACATGTGGCTTTGATTTTCTAATAAATGATTGACCTCTCTCTGTTTTTGAATGGTGGGTTTGATTAATACCCCTCCAAAGGTCGGTTTAATTCATGGTAAATTGTTTTCTCTCCTGATTTTGGAAGGTGGGTTTTGATTTTCGAATTGCAGTGTATGATCTCTCTCGTTTTAGAAAGTGATTTTGATGTTCAAATCGATGATGAATTGAATGAATTGATCTCTCTCTGTTTTTTGAATGTTGGGTGTGTGTTTCTTTGAAGTATAAACTGCAATTTGCTCTTCCAAAGGTGGGTTTAATTTACAATCAATGATAAATGATTCTCTCTCTCTCTCTC